CTCTAATTCTTCTCTAAACTTGGTAGGTTCTTTGGAAAGTAGGGCCCAACAATCTGCAGCTGTCTAGGGGACATGAGTTCTTTGAGGAGAGGGTTCAGGGTACATTTGTAGAGGGCATTGCATAGGGAGGTCTGGATCTGACGAGATCTATGTTTGAGAGATTATAAGGTACAGCAGAGTGAGGCTTGCTGCATGTTCCTGGAGCCTGTTCCATTTCTACTTCCCAGCCATTAGCTATAAAAATGACCTCTATAACTCAGGCTTTAGATCATGCCAGATGGTTTTTTGTAAATCACCCAGGGAAAGAGAGATTAAAGTAAACAGTTGGATGTCTAGTACGGGTTTCTGGGAAGAATGGAGGTGTCAAGGGATTTTGTTGAGGAGGCGGAGGCCAAGGAGATGGGGTTGGATATTGGGCAAGAGATCAAATCAGGGGCCCTGAGAGATTGACACATTTAGACAAAACAAGTGCTGCTATGACTGCCTAACACAAAGCCAACATATCTCTCAGGAAAGAAAATAAGACAAGAGAGAAATCTCATCCAATGTTTTTGTTTCACTTTGTCCTGATAGACACCACAAGAGATGAGGACTGCCAACTCACCAGTGTGTGAAGGCCAGTTCCAACAGCTGGCTAATAAGAACCTGTCCCTGTGTTCTTTACATATAGTTCCACTCTTTATGACAAATGACACAAAAGGACAAAGACAAAGGAAGACAAAGACTATCTCTGAGAGTAAAAGAATTGAGTAGAATCTAGAGTTCTCACAAAACACCAAAAGTTGCTTTTTACCCAAAGAAGTAGTTGACAAACACAGTATCCCCTCCATAGCTGACCACCTCCCCACACTGACCAACTCCATAGTTAACCCAGTTTTCATACACCAGACATATACCACATGTATGTATCAGTACCACAGGTCTAGTTCCTTATGTTGATCAGTTTGTTACAGTCCCTTGGATGGTCGACTGACAGAGGTTCTACTTTATTTTCTCTTGGCAACCTCAATTTAGAGAGGGAAAAAGACAGAGAGTCTTACCATTCTCTCTTTGTTACTGGCCCCCACTGCAGAGATCCAAGAAGCTGAGGGTAAGAAATTGTTCCTCAGCTCAGTGCCTGTAGCTCAGTGAGTAAGGGTGCTGGCCACATACACTGAGGGTGGTGGGTTTGAGCCTAACCCAGACCAGCTAAACAATGACAACTGCAACTAAAAAAAAATAGCTGGGTGTTGTGGTGGTGCCTGTAGTCCCAGCTATTTGGGAGGCTGAGGCAAGAGAATTGCTTAAGCCTAAGAGTTTGAGTTTGCTATGAGCTGTGATACCACGACACTCTACCAAGGGCAATATAATGAGACTGCGTCTCAAAAAAAAGAAAGAAAGAGGATAGTAGCTCGAAGGAGTAGGGCACCGGCCCCATCTACCGGAGGTGGTGGGTATATGGGGCCAGCCAAAACTGCAAAAAAGAAAAGAAAAAATAGAAATCATTCCTTTTCCAGCCTTTGGTGACAAGGTCAAGGACTCAGCTGTAGCAGCCCTGGAGTGACCAATGTTCCAGCCAGTGAAGACAGCTTACTGTTGGCTAGCAATTTCTACAGGGGAGAGAGGGATTGCCGCTAACCCCTCCTTGCCCTCATTGGGCATTTTAGCTGGATCTAGTAAGCAAATCGACACCAGGCAAATCAACAAGAGAAAAGCACCCAAATTTGATCACTTTTAGCTGTACATGGGAAGCTTTATGAGAGAGTGAGATCCAGAGAAGCAGCCAAATAGTTAGGGTGGGAACTTGTGCAGATAAGAAAGAATTCTCAACACAAGGATTAAGATAAGAAGAAGTAAAAAGGTTTTACTTCCCAAAGGGGAAAGGCACAGCACATGAAAGAAAGACAGAAGTGCTAATCATGACAGTAAGGGGTTTGGGGGTTCTATGGGGACAAAGAGAAAGGAAAAGATGATTTCTGCAAGCTGATAGAAAAAGGTAGGTGTACAGCAGCTGCATCTGTTTTTTCTTTCCTTTTTCTCTTCTCTATGAGATTGGCTTTTTCTCGTCCCTGTGAGGGTCCTTGGATGTCTTCTGGTGAGAGTGGGTGTTGGAGGACAATTATGCTTCTTCTATCTTCATTCTTTGCAAGTGCTGGGGAAACAAACTCTTGAAATCACAGGTTGTTAATCAAACTGAGGGGTAGTGGTGTTCTGTAATATTTCTGTCTTTGTTTTTTGTTCTGTTATATAGTTTATTTTCCTCTATTAGATAGTTTATCAGTGATGCCATCCTTTCACAGAGGATGTTTTTGGGGGATTTTTTGAAACAGAGTCTCACCATGTCATCCTGGTAGAGTGCAGTGGCATCATCATAGCTCAAACTCCTGGCCTCAGGCAATCCTCCCACCATGGCCTCTCTGAGTATTAGGAGTATAGGCGTGAGTCACTCCACCTGACCTAAAGACGTTTTTATATTTTTTAGACAAAGAGTGATAGTTTTGAGGAAAAAGTGACAGTATAGAATCTGGTGAGGAGTGTGGACATGGTGGCTCATGCCTATAATCCTGGCACTCTGGGAGGCTGAAGTGGGAGGATCACATGAATTCAGGTGTTCAAAATCAGCCTGAGCAAGAGCAAGAACCTGTCTCTTCTAAAAACTGAAAAATTAGCTGAGCTGCATGCACCTTTAGTCCCAGCTACTTGAGAAGCTGAGTCAGAAGGATCCGGTAAACTGGAGTCTGCAGTTGCTGTGAGCTAGGATAATGCCACGGCATGCCAGCCTGGGTGAGAACACGAGATGCTGTCTCCAAAAAAAAAGAAAAAAATCTGGCTGGGGCAGTGAATGTTTTAGGGCAGTATATGAGGAGGCTGTAAAACACATTATTCAAGTCTATCGTAACCTATACTTTCAAGTCTCTGCTGATACAGCCTATTTTCTTACTCCATTGTGGACAGGGTACCTCTCCCTGAAGAACTTACGTTGCTCACTGTATGCAGGTAGAGACACATCAGCTTTCCCTTCCTGAAACTCTAATTTCCCTAATGTTTTTAACTCAAATAATCAATCAATAAGCCTATGTGGGATATTTTGGGATGGTGTGTCCTTCATGATTTCAACTGGCCATCCCAACAAAGACCACCACAGCAGTCCTGGAGAGGAGACTGGCCAGACTCCAGGGCCAAATCATTGAGCCCCTGTGTGCTCTGGTGGACATGTGCTCCCTGGTGGTGGCCTGTAGCCCCTGCAAAGACCCCACTGGGGTCAGTCCTTCAGGGGGAGCCCAGCTCAACTTTCTGCTCTGAACCCAGCTCAGCCTCCTGGTGAACACTCTCCTCAGGGCTACCCCTCCCAGGACCCCTTCTCCATCCAGTATGGGTCTTCCTAGGAGGAGCAGATGTAGGAATAGAAAAATTGCTAGTAAACACAGGGAGTGGAGCTTCATGGTCAACATGTTTCCAGCTCTATAGGCCTGTAGCCTCTGCAGGCCCTGGGATGGAGACACAGAAGGAAATGGCGACGTGATTGGCAGGTGTGGAGATAAGGAGGTTGGAAGGGAAGACAGTTTCTGGTGGTGACCAAGTAACCCTGAGCTCCTCAAAGAGGATGAGGCAGCAAAGGGAAGGGGTGAAGGCTGCTTCTGTGGCCCTGGGAACTCTGAGATTGGACTACAGTCCCTGCACAGCCCCACAGGACTGGATCTGGCTCCCTGGCTGGGAGTTCTCTTAAGGATAGGAGGGTAGGATCTGGACTATTTTACTTTGGACTTCATTTATGGCCCTGATTGTTCCCTCATGGCAAAGTTGGCACCCTTGGTCACAGTCCATGATCCGGACGGTAGGTGAAGCCTTGCTGCAGCCTCACTACCCCACCCCAGCCTCCTGTCTGTAGGCTTTTTCAACCTTTTACAGCTCTCTTCCTCCCTGGAGAGGACTCCTGGGGGTGGGTCACACCTCCTGATCAGTGACAAAGGGACCTCTAAAGGAATCACAGTCTCTTACTTCAGTTCACTTTGTTCCCGTGTGTGTGTGTGTCTACCCACACATCTCTGTTTTGAGAGATGGAATTATTTTTTAAAAAGTCTGGAGACCTCAGATTGCATATGAAACTATTGGTTTGTTTTCAAGGTGGCACCAAGGATGGACATTCTGTGGCCTGACTGTACAGCACTCAGGGCCTTGGAGCTCCTAGAGGCCTTCCTGGTCATCTTCATATCTTCAGCATTTACATGCCCAGCACCAATGCTCATGTCATGTTTTCCAGAACTCTGAGCTCATTGTCTCTTTTCCGGGCCAACAGTCATTTGTTCAACATCACAAGGTCCCCTGAAAGCTCCATATCTTCAATTTTTACATGTGTGGGGGTGAAAACCAAGAAGCCCAGGGAAGTACATCCCAGGCACACACTGAACGTGGCCCAGGAGTCTGTGTCACCTCCTGCAAAAGCTGCTCCACTGAGCCCATGACGAATGTCACCAGGGCACTGAAAACACTGGGAACCCAGGGGTCAGGAAGCCTGAGGGACCATAGGGCATGTTTCTCTAGCACATACCAGGCTCCCAATGTGAAGAGGAAATGAAAGACCAGAATTCAGAAATGAGTGTCACTCCATGCCATTGCAGGGGGTGAACACTTTGGGGGCTGGGACCTAAGAGATGCCACCAGAGGGAAGTACAGAGATGGTAAGTGAAGGTGGGTTCTGAGGCATGGTTACTGTTTTGAGGGCAGGAGGGCTTCAATGGTCCAAGAAAAGGGGTTAGGGCCCTGCCAGGCCTCAATGCCATCCTCTGGCTTGCCTGTCCTTCTGTTGTTCCTGTGACTCCAGGGTGTATGGTCAGCCCTGGACTGGAAGACATTGCCCTGGCTTCCACAGAGGATTGGCACAGAGGAAGCAGGGATAATCCCCTGACCCATAGCAAATCCCTCCCCAGTTCATCCCTCTCACTCTGCGCTCCATGAGGGCACCTGCCCATCACTGTACCCCATGCTCCCCAAGACGACAATTTAAATATATGTGCATGGGTGATCCTCTAACATTTCTTCAAAACCAAAATAATTGACAGGAATCCATGATTTCAAGAGAAATGACAAACTGGTTTTTGTGTCATTCTTCAGGATCCCAAAGAAAGACACCACTTTCCAGACAAGGCCAGCAGAGCTGGCCCGGAGGGGTCAGGCATCAGGCTGAGGGGGCACTCTCACCCTGAACCGCGGTGCACAGCCATCTTCATCTTCAGAGGAGGGTGCTCCAGCCTCCTCCAGGCCACTCCCATCCTGAAGGAGGATACAGCCTGGCCAGGCTGATGCTCACCCCAGGAGGGGGGCTGAGCCTGCTTCCACCTGCTCACATCCTCCACAATTTGGTGCTTTCCTGAGAATTTCAGAGTCAAGGCTTGAGTGGCTGCCAAGCAACACACCAGTGAGTGTGATTTGGGACCCACAGCTCAGAAGAAGATCCTGGTTCTTCTAAATATCAGCAGGGTCTTGAGGGATATTCCCCCAGAATCCTTTGTGGAGGCTGAGGAAGAGGAGAGACAGGTACTGGAGGGCGGAGAGCTCACACCCGGCAGGCTAGAGTGCTCCTGCCAATGTACCCCGTGCAGCACCAGTGCCCTTCTACTGTGTGCCTCAGCCTTAAATTCACAGGGCTTTGGCCGGCCTGGGAGAGCCCCACGTGACCATGGCATCCACCAGGAAGGTGGGCATGTAGCTCAGGGGGAGGTAGAGAAGCTTGGCGTCCCAGCCAGCTGAGTACCGGGTGCGCGGGTGGCAGGCGGTCAGCGCATGCTCCATGCAGTCCGTCACCTTGGATAGATCCTGCTCTAATCTTTGTTCCATTAAGTCTGCTGATTTCACGTCTGTACAGAATGAGAAGGCAACATGTGTACTTCACCCTGCAATGCTTCTGCTTGGGGTTCAACTTAAGAGTGGAAAGTTTCTAACAACTCACGCCTCACCAAAGGAATACCCCAGTCATCCATCCAAACTCCCTGAAGGATGCCCTAGCTTACCCCAGAAAGATCTGTTCCGCCCTAAGACACCTCTGCTGGGAAACCTGGACTGCCTGAGTGGAGGGTGTCTGCCAATACCACACCCCGGAGCACACGGAGCCAGCTGGGACACTGGCCTCACGTGCAGGGCCAGCTGGCTCCGGGTCCATGAGTCTCTCCCCTGTCTGGCCCCTGCCTCTTCAGAACAGTGAAAGCTTCAGCGAGGTGCTGGTCCCAGTGACTAATAAGCCTGGATACTTGTTTTATGTGTGAGCAGTTCTGGTAACACCCACGAGGGACTAGGTCCCCACTTGTCAGAGGAGGCTGAGCTTCCTCCCCCCACCAGCCCCACCCTCTGGTCAGGAGGATAGCTCCTCTTAGAGACCCAGAAATGAGGGTTCCTGGATTCCACCCAAGGGTTTGCTTCTCTGTCCACTCACTCACAGGATGCCAGAAACTTCTCGCCATAGCTCTGCTTGACTTCTGAGCTGGTCCGGCTCCACACTTCCTTCAGGTTTTTCAAGAATGTCTCCTTACTGGTCACAGCAGTCTTAAAGTACCCAGGCTCGATTAAAACCACCTTCACGCCAGAGTATGACAGCTCCCTCCTGAAGGACAGAGAGGCAGAGGAGCAAGGATTTCAGAATTCTTGGGAAGATCAAGCAATATGAATGCCATATCATGGTAAGAAACCTGGGACTTTTAATGGGTGAAGACCAGGTTAATAATTGGGAGGCGGGCAATGCATTTTAAAATACGTAATTATTGTTTTCAATATTTTACACACTAGCCTTACCTGCCTGAACCCCGGGATTTTGCCTCAAGGTGCCACTGCAGGGCCAACCCTCAAGTTCCCACATGGAGCCATCCCCATGACTCATCCATGGCACCCGTTGATCTCCTCAGCCCCTCCCTCCCTCTCCCACCGTGGGAAACTCCCTGGATCTGTCTCAGCAGGGCTACTGTAGCTGTCTTCTGAGGAGCGTCCCTTGGCCTTCAGTCCCACCTCCTCAGACAGGCTCTACTCCCTGCACCCAGGGGACGTCTGGATGCCTGATAGAACTAGCAGCCGCACTGAGCACAACCTGCTGTGGGTTTCATTGTCAACAACATGAAGTCTGGCCCTTGTGCAGGGTCAAAGGCATCCACAGCCCACCCTCACCAACCTGCTCATCTCCCTGTGCCAGACTTGGGCTTGTCCTTTGGCCTAGGAGGACCCTGTCACACCGAGGTCAGTGCCTGCTTACCGTGGGCCTGGGGTAATGACATCCTCTCATGCAGGAGCCCTGCCCACCCTCTTTCACAGGCTGCCAGGTGCAGCCCTCCAGGTCTCAGCTCTCACCACACATCCGGGACCCTCCGCAAATATGGGAGGGCCCCCAGCCAGCATGTCCTACTCGGTCACAACCCCTGCATCTCTTGTCCCTCTGCCTCCCAACTGTCCAAGTTTCCAGGTCAAGGACCAAACCCTGTTGTCCTAAGGTGTGCTGATTTCACGTTCCCACTACTGTCCCGTGCTGTCCTTGGCACTCACTGAATCAGAGGCTAAAACCATCTTCAGGGCCCGTGTATACCAATGTCATATTGGCCGTGGACATGGGCTCTGCACCCAAAGTATCCCTGTTCCTATCTGTTTCAGACATGTCCTGTCTATGGGCCCTTCTCAAAAGACTCAGACCCGCATTATATGGGTTCTTAGGCTCCAGGCCCCTCTCTCTACCAGAACATGGACGGAAGGTCCCAAGGCATGGCTGGCTAAATCCAGGGAAGTGCAGGACCACGGAGCCTGACAGAAGAATCTTGAACAAGGAGCCTTTAAGGCTATGATTAAATCAAACTCCTGAAAAATTCTCCCACAGAAGAACAAAAACAAGACCTAGGCCAGGCCCCAGCCCAGTGTGATACCTGAGTGAGTCCGAGAAGGCCTCGACGCCATACTTGGAGATACAATAGCCGCCACCAAAAAGTGAGACCCGGCCCATGACACTGGAGACGTTGACCACGCGGCCCCTGGCCTTCCTCACTAAGGGCAGCAGGCTCAGAGTCACCTCAATCACCCCCAGCAGGTTCACATCCAGTATGGTCACAAAGTCCTGTTTTGTGAGCCACTCGTTGGGGGCCGTGGGCTGGGAGATGCCAGCGTTATTCACCAGGCCCCAGAGTCCTGGGGACAGAGGGAGATGAGAGCAACACTGTGTTGAGCCTGTGCAGTTGGATGCGGTTATGTTCAAGCTTACATCCCAGTCGAGTGAGAGCACTGTGGTGTGTCCTGGG